CTCATTTTTAGGTGATTTTACTCTAGAGAAAACATATTTATTATATTAAATTTCTGCCGATATATCACCCTAAATCCAACACAATGAACCTTTAACACAAGGTGGAGGTTAAGGTCCAACATGGCACCCCAGGTCAGATGATCTGTGAGCTATCACTGCATCCATCACTGTCGTGCTTTCAGTCGTCATGTCCTTCTAAAGTTGAGGAATATCACATGACGATGTCCTTTTCAACAGGTGTTGTCTATGTGGACTGTTTCAAAAAACAACCAAACTGTCTCAGCCCCTGAGCTGAAACAGGATGCAGCAAGTGATGATATGTCGGGGTCAAATTAAACTGAAGGCATTAAAACAAGATTCATAATTGACTTTGATTTTAAAGTGAAGGTTCCTTCAACCAGAGCAAAACCAAAAACACACACGTCTCTGTAACCTACTGTAAATACATTTAAAGAAGAAGAACCATGTCTTATTCCTGATATCTAGTGGAATAATTCACATCCTTGGCCCCCTGCATGAGTTATGTGTCTGCTAATTTGCAAACTGTATTTCACCGTGAATAATATTACATAGAAAGGTGACAGACTATCAAGGGACTTATGACATTACATGACTGTGTTATTACTATCCATTCTTCCCTGCTGCTTTTTGGCAGAATATCTCATGTTGATACTGGTCATGTGCTTGTGATCTCTCAGGATCAGTTCACTTTAAATCAGAAAAACAAAGCAAACCCCCACCCACAGGTTACTTCTTCACCAGAAATGTAAACATTTGGTTCTCTTTTCTCTGACAATAGTTTTTGTTCCTTATTTTGAAATGATAAAAAGCTATTTTTTTTAATACTTTATCGCCCTCTAATGGTCACTGAGGGCAGCTGCACAAAGGGGGAAACCACTGACAGAGACCATTTTTAACTTTAATTACTAAAAAAAATCTTACTGTCATGTTGCATTGATTTACTTTGGCTTAACTTTAAACCTAAACTATGAGCAATCAAATGCAAAATCTGTGGCTGAAACTGAGAGACAAAACTCAACTCACTGTCGTCTATCAATGCATCAAACCTGCCTTTTTTGTACAAGAATCACTGAAAATAGGTTAAATTTGATGATAATAAAACAAGTTTATCCTCAATGTGTCTCACTGCATGAGTGGATATTTATCCTCACTAGTGTTGTTGCTGTGATTGAAGTTAATCCAGATATTAAAAAAAAAAAATCTAAAGGGATGTTAGTGGAATTAGGGACAGGACGGTCACACATACATACACACACACACACACACACACACACACACAGGAATGATGCATTTGTCAGGATGAGGACAGGCACGCAACCAGCACAGTAATCCTCACTGCTGGCATAATGAAATGGCCAAAACGACAGATCAGCACACACACATACACACACTCAGTGGACTGATTTTCCTCTGAGCTGAGTCAGAGAGCGCGTCAGTGCACCTGTGGTCATGTCAGTGTGTGTGTGCGTGTATATGTGTGTATGGGGTGGGGGTAATGACTAAGACTGAGAGTAATGGTAGCGAGCAAAGTGGGTTTGAAACATTGCAGTTGTCAGTTGAAATAGACAGGACAGGCGAGGAAAATAGAAACTTTCCGCGTAGTTATGAGTGATTGAATGACAAACAGTTTTAAGGCGAGAAACCCCTTGAAAATCCACCAGACACCAAATGTCAGATGTGAATTTTAAATGAGCTGAAGTAGAAGGGCTAAATATATACAAAAAAGACTGAGGCAGTGAGATGTTCACTAATCGGCGGCGGGTCTGGAAATATGTGAATGAGGGGGCCACATTGGGGTGAAGTTTTAAGCGGGGTGAGGAGGTGTTTGTAAAATTAGTAAGGAGCTGAGAATATTGTCACGTGAAGTCACTTCCTCATTTTCTGCTAACTGCTAGGACCCACTTTAACTGACATAACAATACTATCTCTTATTCCCACAGGTGTTGTTGGGTATGTTTGTTTGTGTTACCTTGTTGGCAACAAATAAAAGTGTCCCCAACTTTTTCTTTTCAGTGTGCCAAATACCATTGCTGATGGTTGGTGAGTTTTAAGAGGATACAGAGAGTAGTGTTGTGTCAGTATGCTGGATGATGTAGAATAAGCATCGTTAACACAAACAAAACTTTCAACAAAAACGCGCGCTAAAGTGCCCTCCTGGGAGCCAAAACGCGCACTAAAGTGCCCTCTTGGGAGCCAAAATGTGCGCTAAAGTGCCCTCCTGGGAGCCAAAACGTGCGCTAAAGTGCCCTCCTGGGAGCCAAAATGCATGCTAAAGTGCCCTCTTGGGAGCCAAAATGCGCGCTAAAGTGCCCTCTTGGGAGCCAAAACGCGCGCTAAAGTGCCCTCTTGGGAGCCAAAACGCATGCTAAAGTGCCCTCTTGGGAGCCAAAATGCCCTCCTGGGAGCCAAAACACACGCTAAAGTGCCCTTTTGGGAGCCAAAATGCGCACTAAAGTACCCTCTTGGGAGCCAAAATGCGCGCTAAAGTGCCCTCTTGGGAGCCAAAACGTGCGCTAAAGTGCCCTCCTGGGAGCCAAAACGCATGCTAAAGTGCCCTCTTGGGAGCCAAAATGCCCTCCTGGGAGCCAAAACGCGCGCTAAAGTGCCCTCTTGGCAGCCAAAGTGCCCTCCTTGGAACCAAAACGTGCTCTAAAGTGCTCTCTTTGGAGCCAAAAAACACACTAAACTGCCCTCTTGGCTGGTTAAAACATGATAAACTGCCCTCTTGGGTGGTAGAAGTGTGTGCTAAAGTGCCCTCCTGGTTGGCAAAACACACTAAACTGCCCTCTTGGCTGGTTAAAACATGATAAACTGTCCTCTTGGGTGGTAAAAACATTACTGTTGCAATGACTTTTATGTTGGGCCCTTTTTTGATCTTTATTGAGCCATATCTATATCTCACAGAACCAGTTTGGATTATCTGGTGCTAATATGGTGTTAAAATGCACTAGAATACAGGAAATGGCATCTACTTAATTGAAAATTTTCTGGGGAAGGACCCCCTGACCCCCCCCCCACAGATTTATTTCCTTCATACATCCATGTCTCCGTGTGTTCTTCACAGTCCAACGTTGAATCTACACAGTTCTCGTGGATGCTGATCCTAACTACAAACTAACTTGAGTAGTCTGTCTAGTTAGTCTGTTTTAAGGCTATATAATGTGCCATTTGTATAACATATAAACATGTCTAAAGTGCCCTCAAAAACATGTGGAACTTAGTGCCCTCTTCAGTGGCGAGAACGTGCTGTATGTGCTCTTTTTTTTCTTTTCGCCCCTGCCCTTCAAAAAGTCTGTGCACGCCACTGAATGTACACATTTTGGCCAGGGAAAAAAGATGGTTTGAAAGAGGCCATCTACATCAAACTCATAAACCCCCATAATATAATGTTCAACTTTAGAGCAGATATTAACATTTTTACAGCCTGGTGCAAAAAACAGTTTTGGTCTCTATAGTTAATTTAACCATTTGTGACAACTGCGCAGGTGGTGAATTTTTATATACCTCACCCGTTTACGTTTGATTGAGGCTTAAAGTTACGCATTATTAAGGGCGAGCTGCTTTGAATGACAAGCAGCCTGATGACAGTGTCCTTGCCTTCTCATTCACATCCACCTGACTGCTCCACAGCTCCGGGCTTCTTGTTCAAATTTGGTCACTTCCGGCTCCAAAAAAACAAGATGGCAACGGTCTACAAAGTAATGGGTGATGTCATGGTAGCTACATCCATTATTTGCACACTTGGGAGTTTGGACTTGGCAAGTTTGACTCGGGAGTACAAACTCCCAAGGATGGCTGCCATTGCTGCTGGTCTGTGAGAAATGCATTCTGGGATACCTGACTGTCAAAAGTCCACACAAGTCACCTCCCGATGCATCCCCGATGGAACGGACAGAGCAAGGTCACATCCGGGCATTTGGACTATACTTGGCTGGATGCGGACTTTGAATTGGAATAGTACTGATGACGTTTAACAAGTCCACAAGAACACAAGTCCATGCAAGAGCGCAGATTGAGAAATGCCTAGAGTCTCTCTCTGTCTCTCAGTGCGGGTTGGATGACACTTTATTTTGAAATACAGTGACTTTCCGGCACAAAGCTTAAATTCTGAAGTAACGTTTCCTGCTGTAGAGTGACTAACGTACATCTACTTGAAAGAGACACCAAACTAGCTCGACTACATGGCCAAACCAAAGTATAACACTGAATGTATTAAAATGTGTGGACCCTGAACCAAGAAGACAACCAGTCCTCCTGGGTGGGACCAGTTGGGAACCACTGTGTTAGGCTACATAAATAACTGGTTACTTTTACAAATCACAGACACTGTGGGTTGAAGATCTGACATGTCTTGTGTCTACTTTGCACTGCCCTGCACTTTGTATCTGTGACATCTGTACATTTTACTGTTTTTTCTTTTAACCAGTTTATGTATTTTGCAAAAAGTGAAAAAATATAAAATAAATAGAAAAAAAAGAAAGTTAAATGCAAAAATGATATTTAAAAATACAAAAGACAATAATGTACATTTTACTTTTAAACCTATAAATAATCTGGAAGTTGTATCCTTCATATTTCTGTTTTATAATCTAATTATTTAATACACTTGTGTTTTACCACACATATTACTTGTGTGTGACAAATAAACATTTGAATCTTGAATAAGTGTTATTTATTTTTGATTCATAGTTTTTGTAGATCCATCAATCAAATCAAATAAATGTTTCATGTAAAAAAGCTCTGTCTTGACACAACACGCATATAATTCTCCTATGATACAATAGCCTACACAGTTTTCTGTTATTTCGGTGACTGTTCTCTTTGCCAACACGTGGTGGTTTTCTGGAAGGGATGAAAACATCACATAAAATCACTGTTGCCATAACAACGGCACTGTGTTTCTCTCTCTCCTCCTCCTCTTCTTTCTCCATCCCTCTGCTGCAATGCATCACACCCTCTCTCCTCCTCCTCCTCCTCCTCCTCCTGCATGCACCTCCCTCCCCCAGCCTTCACCCATCCCAAAGACTGATTAGCGCGGCATCCTTCCACTGACACACCATGTAATTTGTGGAGATTACTGATTTTTTTTCCCCCTGTGTTTGTGTGTTTCTCTTCCGCTTTTCTTCATTTTGACTTGTCGGTCAGCATCCATGCGGCTCTCCAAAAGACATCTCCCACCGCGCGTCTCTCCTTGAAGGCAATAAGAGGAAGAAGTAGGAGATTTTTGTCTTTTTTTTCCTGTGTCGTGCTTCCATCCTGAAATCTCTCCGATGGTCCCCGGTGTGACAGCAGAGAGACTTCCAGCATCTGACTGCCTGACGCGGGATGGAAGCCGTCCACCTCTGACCCATCAATAGGACGAGACGTTTCAAGGATACCAGTGAGGGAAAAAGAGCATTGTTTTTATTTAAAGGCGACAGGTAAAGGACGCTGCGCTCGGCTGTGCTGCATTTATAGGATTTTTTTTAAAGAGGACAGACGTGATTTTATGCATTGTGAGCAAATTCCAGACTAGATGATTGTAGTTTCTTTTATGTTAACCCTAAAACACAAGAACTCCCCGTAATTCACAGCCACACTGCTGGAATGCACAAGAGAAATAGCGCACTTTTTTCTAGTCCCCAAAGACGCACAGCTGGGCGGGCAGCGGCGTAAATAAACCCCCTCTTAGCTGTTCAATGCATGCCTTTCAATCCGCCTTCAGACTGGAGTCATGTGTTGGTGACCCATCTGAGCACCAGAGCCACCTGCGCTGTTGCATGCAAGCCTGCCTGAGCGCCACGCGCAGACAGCAGCTAAACAAACCACATGGCTTCACTGATGTGTACAAAGAGCTGATGATTTCACTTGAATAAGTCAGGAGTAAACAGACTCTGCCCTAGATCACTGCCTAGAGCTTTATTTTAAAGAGATATGTAGTTGTGCAACTGCAATTTGGACTGCAAGAGGAAAGCAATAACACTGATATGAGGCAATAACAATCAAAAAAAAGGTGGTAATTATATTTTGTTCCAAAGCCAAAGAGAGGTGGGAATAAGCGAGAGGATACTTCACACTGCTTCCATTTGCATTTTCACTCAGACTGTGGCTCTATCAAGCATCAACCCTCCTTGCTCGCACACGAGGGAAAAGTGCAGCTAAATGTTTCCTGTCGAAGGCATTCATGCATGCAGCATTTTAATAGACTTCTGAACTGCACAATCACTCTGTAACTCTCCATTGCAACACTCCTTCACAGGCTGCGTCTTCCATTTTCAGCACAAATTCCTCAGCATCACCCCTCAAGATATCTGTCTTCCGGTAGCTTTTATGGTTAATCACTGACGGTGCCATTCACCCACCAGTCTGTGTGTCAGCATACCCGCATTATTTGGTGCACACACTTTCTCATTGTGGAGCTAAACAGGCTTACGGGTGTGCCACAGAGTATAAATAGTTGAACAAAGGCCCTTTTGGAGCTGACAAGGGGCCGAAACCTGAGACTCAGAGTGATTCCTCCCTCTGGTAACTCTACACGCTCACACGCCGAGAGGCTGGAGAAACTCTCCAGCTCAACAGAGCAATTTAGATCCGGAGAGGGTAAAGGGACGAGGCAGCGAGCAGGGCACACACTGCTGCTGTCAGGTTTCTCAGGTGCTTAAGAAGACCAGATCAGCAAGAAGACCCACCCACCCCTCCTTCCAGCAATTGTATGAGCTGAAAAAAAGGAGGAGAAGAAGAGGACACCAGGGCGGACCACACCCAGAGTCCCACCAGCCTCAAGACAGAGTCTCCTCCTCTCACCTCCCAGACTCTTGATCACAGTCTGGACATCTTTTGGGCATCTTAGAGGTCATCATCCCTCAGCTGGAGTAGCTGTTGTAGGCTAGATCTGTCTGGTGTCTCCCATTCTGAGGTGTGTGAGTGTGTGTGTGTGAGTGTGTGTTTTGACGCCGTTGAGAGCCGCCAGCGGTCTTCTTTTTCCTGTCAGGATGTCTGCAGTACAAGAGCTGCTGCTGCTGCTGGTACCTCTGGCCCTCCTGGTGCTTCAAGGTGAGTGAGCAGCAGTTGTGTTGCCATGGTGACGCCGCAACGGCAACACCTTGGCATGCACGTAAGCCACCATCCAATGCCTCCCCTCCATTCATTGACTGTGCAGCTTGCGACTGTTGTTGAGGTGTTTCCTGTTGTCCGGTGATGCCCCCTCTAATCTAACGCTGTCTGCTCTGTTTGTAGGCAATGTTTACGGGGTTTTCTCCAGTGTGTGTGTGTGTGTGTGTGTGTGTGTGTGTGTGTTGGTGTGTGCTCAGATGCAGATGTGTGAGTGAGTGTTTCATCATTGGGCTGGATTGATTGCTAATAGCCCAGCTGTTTAGGTTTTGTTTTTTCAGAGTAATGAGATGTGGCCATGTGGCGGTGTTAAAATGGAGGACACACATGCATACAGATACTGCGGCACTGTGTATTCAAAGGTCTAGAACAATCTAAATCATTCATTTCTCCCTGTGTGTTACAATGGGGCATTTATGTCTATGCATGTGTGTGAGTGAGTGTGTGTTTGCAGACCAGAGCTCCAACTAAGGATTATTTTCATTATCTATTAATATCCCAGTGTCGTTCTCAAAGAAACAGCTTTATAATTAGTTTATAGAATGGCATTAAACAGTGAAAAGTGCATGCCACAACTTAAAGACATCTGACCAACTGTTTCACTTAACAGTGTTAGAAAACAAAGAAAAAGCAACAAGAATGTTTGGCATCTTTGCTTGAAAAGTTGCTTTCAGTTGATAATCAGAATAGTTGCGGATTGATTTACTGTCACATGACTTATTGATTAATCGACAAATTGTGCAGCACTACGTCAAGTGAATGGACGTTTCCAGTCAATGTAGCAATTGCAGCACAAGTGATGAATTGTTCTTTCAAAAATTCTCGTTAAAGAAACAATCGTAAGATTTAGTGGCATAAAGTGATGATGTTTGCAGATTACAACCAGCTGAAACGTGTCCTGGTGTCCTGGTTGAAACAGGTGCTGAAGCACTGAATAAATAAGTTTCACTTTATCGGCAGAGGTCTCCTCCTCTCCAAAACAAACAGACCCAGTGATTTAAACCGGTAAACACACTGAGTAAAGCAGTTGCATATTAAAAAAAAAATCAATGTTTCTTTGATGTGGTTTGGTGTGTCAGAGACAGGCTGCCAGCCCAGCACCTGCTAATATGTGCTCAACTTATTTCCCTGATAATTTAACATCTAGACGTTCAGGAGGTTTTGACTTCGAGTTGAATTATCCAGAGATGGTCTCTTCTCCAAACGGACCTGGTAATTAAAACATTCATCCCAGAGGAGCTGCTAACTACGGTGAAAGACACTAAAAGGTGAATGCCCCTATATAGAGCCATGTCTGGTTCGTCTGTTCTGGGTTTTAGTAGAGACATGGTGGTGCAACATGGCAGACTCTGCAGACGAGAATCCACTCCATATGTAATGTAATGTAATGTACTTTATTTATATAGCACTTTACAACGACCACAGGTGAATCAAAGTGCTTCACAAGAGATTAAAAAACAATTAAAAACACAACACACAACAGATTCATGAATAAAAAACAACAAATAAAAGGATAAAACAATAAAATAAAATAAAATAAAACAGGAGTGTCACCACATTACTGAGTATTAAAAGCCATCCTAAATAAATAAGTTTTAAGTTTAGATTTGAAGAGGCTCAGGTCAGAGGCGAGACGTATGTCAGTGGGGAGTTTATTCCAGAGCCAGAGTGCGGCAACAGAAAAAGCTCAGTCACCCCAGTGTTTGTATTTAGACTTGGGCTCTCCCAGCAAGAGTTGGTTAGAGGACCTCAGAGCCCTGCCACACTCACGGACAGTTAGCATCTCAGATAAATAAGATGGGGTGAGGTCATTAAGAGCTTTAAAGACGAACATTAAAAGTTTGAAATCAATTCTAAAACGAACTGGAAGCCAGTGGAGAGAATAAAGGACAAGACTAATGTGCTCTCGTCTGTTAGTGTTAGTTAAAAGGCAGGCAGCTGCATTTTGCACATGTTGAAGGTGGCTAAGAGCAGACTGGGAGATGCCAATAAACAGTGCATTGCAGTAGTCGAGTCTAGAACTAATAAAAGCATGAATAGCTTTTTCAAGGTCATGACAGCTTAAAATGTTTTAACTCTGGCTAAAAGAGGTAGTTGGAAAAAGCTTGTCTTAACAACAGTGTCAATTTGTTTATCAAATTTCAAATGGTTGTCAAAAATACCCCCAGATTTCTGACCGTAGGGCTACATGTAGAAGGCAAGGCGCCCAGGCTGGTCGTCCCAGTATCCCCAAACACAATGCACTCTGTCTTATCCTCATTTAAATGAAGAAAATTTTGAGTTAACCAATTCTTGATATTAACAATACAGTCAAGTGAGGAACTTAGTGCATTATTATCTTTTGGCTTCAATGGCAGATAGATTTGCAAGTCATCGGCATAGCAGTGAAAAGATAGATTGTATCTGGCTATAATTGACCCAAGTGGTAACATATATAATGAAAAAAGCATAGGGCCAAGAATAGAACCCTGTGGGACCCCACAGGAGAGGGGGGCACTAGAGGAGGACAGGTCACCAAGCTTACAGAAAAGCTTCTATCAGATAAATAAGACATAAACCACTTAAGTGCAGTGCCATGAATGCCAAGATAGTGGTTCAGGTGTGATAGGAGGACTGTATGGTCAACCGTGACAAAGGCTGCCGTGAGATCAAGCAGCACTAAGACAACGGGACACTTGGCCAGTTTGTAGGCTTCAGGGATTTGACTATATCAGCAAGGGAGGGAAGAGAGACCAGTTCAAACTGCTCAAACACAGCAGAATGAGCTGGGATAACAGTCAAATCCCTATTACAGCTCTTGCTGGTTACTTGTCTAACAGAATCTACTTTGTCAACAAAAAAGCGAAGAAAGTTCTCACAAGTGGTAGTTGAGACATCAGTCACAGTGGAAGTAAATGGGTTTACAACAGAACTGATTGTATTAAATAGCACCCTGGGACAATGACTGCTGGTGGAAATAATATCGGTGAGATACTGAGATTTTCGCCTCTGGCTCGCCTATATCAGATACACAGATGTGATTGGTGCAGCTCGGCTCCTATGGCATGGGTAATGAGCATTATTACTGAGTGACTCGCTGAGCAAATTTAAATTGTGTTCTCGTGAGAACTCTTGGTTTCCAGGGTAGTAGAAACGGGACAATACACAGAAAAGGTAGCAGAGGCAGACAGCCAGCCACACACAACGGCACCATCTTGCCAGATGTAGATATAGACGGCTCATTCTAAGGTAGCAAAAACACAACAACTCTTATTTTCAGGTGACTACACACTAAAGAAAACATACCTATTCCATTTCTGCCAATATATCCCCCTAAATCCTACACACTGGAACTTTAAGACACTTGTCTCTTTCATTTGATGCAATTCTCACTTAAGACCCTTTCCCACTAAACAAAAACAAATGCTAACATCTGGCTTTTGTATTTAAGGGGAAAGGTTATAATCGGTATTCACTTCCAGGTCAAATGACTCAGCAGTAGTCACGAGAATTTATTGACTCCAGCTCTGATCATCTTAGATTGGCAGTGATGGAAATATGACATGCAGGTGGGCACGCTAATTCTAGCCCCTTTACCAATGTGATGCAATGACCGGCCGCTACAAGCAGCACTCAAACATCGTTCAACAATTTAGTCTGCACCAAGTTTAAGAGAAAGACTGAATAAGTCACAGATATAAAAAAGGAGTACCCACTGTAAAACTTTCCCTGGGCTCCGTGCTGCTTTCACTTACCCTGTTTTCTGGGCTGTCCGTGACATAAAACGTGATACGCTAGAAAAAAGCCCCCACAAAAACAAAGGCATACTACTGCAGAGCCTTGTTTATGGATATGGTCTAATGCCAATGGGAAAGCAGTCTATCGCCTGGTGGGAAAAGAAAATCAATTCTACTGCATGTGCTACCTATACATTACCACTGGCCAAAACTAAACAACTAGTATCATGAACTAAAAGAGAAGAATGTTTCTTTAAATTTGTGCCCTCAACCTTTCCACTCCCCCTGCTGGTGTCTGTATTATTTGAGATATCACGACTCAATTTCCCACCTTCACAAGAAGCCATTTACCGCCACTTACTATTTTACAGCATGAAAAACACCTTCCGCTGAGATGAAAATAGCCCCAGCTACATAATCCATCACCTTTAAGTTACTGTCAGTCTCCTCACACCCACAGGAAGAGGAGCAATACCACAAAGAAATAATCTTTAACAACCCTGTCTTAGGAAATTTACGGCATCTCTTTATTTATGGCCTCTTGGTTTATCTGGAAAGATAAATAAATGTAAAATGATCAATGGCATGCGCTGGCAGGCAATTTAAACAGCTTTTAGAAGTTAGTTATGGCTACAGCTGTGCAAAAACAGTTTTGACTTTAAATGCTTTTTAACTTTATTTTTGTGCAAACCGGACTCAAGTTTAAAAAAAGTATTTTGAGCATTTTTAATATGTTCCCCTTTTTTTTTTACTTGGCATGTTGTTGTTACAGATAATCTCATTTTAAGCACTGAGATTTAAAATTGAGCACAAAAAGGAAGAAATGCAGTAAAAGAGAGATTAACTGAGCACTTATCACAGTCAGCCAGCTGCTCTTTGTCTCGCACTCAGTCACGGACAACAATACTACAAACCACACATGCACAAGCCGGCACAGCTTCATAATCTAAAAGAATATAATAATTATAGTAATGCTGTGACATGAAGTGGCAGTTTTTCCAGGATATAAAGTTGAAACAGGCTGCACAAAATTGAGCCGTGGAAGCTGATGAATGAACAGAGGAGTGACGCTTGGCAAAAAGTAAGAAGGTTACACAACCTTGATTGACAGAAACAGGCAGTTTGAATGAGGAGCCGGCGGATTAGTTAAGGACTGAAGCGAGTGAGCACATCTGGAGCCGGACGCAGTGAGGATGAGAATATAAGACGAGACAGGAAATTGGATGG